TAGTATGCATATTGTATTTCCTTTATGGATAATTTTAGCTCGCCATTAGGCGCCGGGAATATTATAATTATTATCGTTAACTTGCTGTTAAAAYAATATAACGGTGATATCGAGTCGGCAACAGCGCAGTTATGGGGTGTATCTAGAATATCTGTTTGATGATTTAATCGACTATCGTCAAATCCGCCAGATACACCCTAATTGTTTCGCACCGGATTCGGACGGATACACACTGCCGTGGCACTAGGGGTGGGTTATAATATAGTGCCTATTCGACGAAGACTTTGGGCTTTTGGTCGGAGAAATAATACTGCAACTCGAGGATGTATAAGGGAGGTGCTGGTGTATAGGGATATAAGGCACTTATATTATTATGTGCTTGAACGACGGGGCGGAGGTGAGTGCGCTTAGGATTCCGTGATTTATGATGAACCCGGCTCGAAAAAAGGATACCGTAGAGATGAAGAGATAATAACGAGACTTTCTCTAGGGCACGTGTGCATACATATATATGTGTTTAAATAGCAATTAATATACAGGGGTTGGCGGTATGCCGTACGTAATGAGGTAGATCATTGCCACTGCAATATACCGTCATTCGTTGCTATGGGAGAAATTACTGAATATACACAGCCGCTACCATCTTTATACCGATTATAAAACCTTTTCTCATAACCTATTCTAAAAAGTGGTACGATAAGTAGTGAACAATCATTGAAACGTAAGATATTATCGTCGTAGATCGTTAAAATAGAATAGTTATTGCACGGATCGATTGAATGTATTTTGCTCTATGCTTAACATAATCGGACGTGCAGGAAATACGTCGCTGTTAACTCTTTGTTTTTATTTTGAATAAAAATCGCTTTCAATAAAAGTGATCATCAAATTTATGGATTTCTTTCGTTATTTGATCTGAACATTTTTTTAAAAATATATTCGGCGTTTTGTAAAATGTCAAATTAAGGGTGCGTAAAATATCATCTGTCTCATTGAATCCTAAGCATATTCAATAATATATTTCACACCGTGACCGTGGGTGAAAAGTGACATGTCATGTCCTTTTTCCCATTATTACAATGTATTATAAATGGGCATTTATTATTCATAAGCATAAATATATAATATATATATATATATATATATATGCATATTTTTTTATCGAACGGATATATGACATCACTCAATAAGAGAATTAGCAATACTATACGCCATATATAAAATGTTTTTTATTGGTTATTTTACTTTCAGTATTTTTTTAAAATAATATATATAAATTTATTTTTTAATAAAAAGTAAAACATTATTGATATCAACCGAGGAAACAAATACAATAAATGTTTTTCTATTATTCTCCAATTAATACATTTATAAGATAAAACAAAAATTTCACTAGAGAAATGTATAAATTATTTGTTTAACAATTAAGTTTGAGAACCTACTTAATTTKAATTGAGAAAAAAGTCTTTGTAATCCATGTTCTATCTTTACAACTAAAAATTTGTACTACATATGTGACATGTGGAACCTAAATTACAATCAAACAAATTTAACCCTAAATTATCAAACAAATAAAAAGGGTTTTAATAAATTATCTTAAATAAAAATACACAAGGAAAGAAAACAATTTACAAGAACTACTCTTCGTAAACCTAGGACCCAAAGCAGAAATGAAAGTCAAAGTAATACAATTAAAAAAAAAAAATCAGAATCTTATGGAACTAATATAGTAATATATTCAAGAAAATAATTTGAAACTAAAAAAAAAAAAAAATGTAAGTATACTAAACTAATAACCTCAGCTGTTAAAGCGGATAGACCAATAAATAAAAATAATTTCTAATTGTATAATAATGAAGCATAGGTACAAACATTTATTAGATTTTTTTATATTATTATTAGAAAAAAATCGAATGTTTCAAATAAAATAATAAAATCAAAACCATGTTTTTTATTTTTTATCAGTATAAACCCGCGGTAACATAGGATATTAAGTGCGGGGGGTGATACGGTAGGGATTGTTTTTGTGTATTTGTCTGTAGGTTTTAAGTTGGTAGGTTGTAAAACGTATTTTTGTATCTGTCGTAAGGATATTTTGCTAAAAATCCTAGGTGGTCACCCATCTAGGAGCTAGTAACTGCGACCAGTATCAGTGCATTTCTGTAGAATGAGCGTACGACCGCGTCTTACCAAGCCACAATTAATATATTATATCCACCTACTGTGATTAATAGAATAAAAAAGGCACATAAATACAAAAACAATTCAAATTAGTAYCTACTTACATTGAGGAAAAAACTATYTACAGAAAAGCTCAACTTAGCCAAAAGTGATCAACAATGTCTTAAATTCATAATATATTTAAAAAATAGATAAATTGTATTTCTTTAATGCGTTCAATTATTTTCTTACAAACTACCTAGGTACTAAAATTACGACCTCATTACAATATCATGAATATTATATTATTTCTAATTTAGTAATGAGGTGTTCATCAAAGTTATTTAAATTAGTGCAATTATCTCATAAATGATAGTTTTTCGAAAAAAATTAGCTTCTTAAAAAAATGCACCATTTACTACCATTTAAGTATGTTGTATTAATGTTATAWTTTATTTATWTATCAATTTAGAAAAAACTTGTAAGTTGTAATGATCAAGATAACACAAGTAATTAATCTATATGTTGTCTTTATTGTTTATATTCTATTAAGTGTGAAAATGGTATGTAATATGCAATTAATAATATTTATAATACTTAGTACTTTTATTAAGATTTTTATGATAACTCAGTTATACATATAGGTATCACATTTATAATATTATTTATTAGTATAAACACAATATAAATGTAGATTCCATTATAAAATTACGTTACTGCAAACAAATTGATCAGAATTAAAATTTAAAAATTTAAATGTTTTCATATATAATTATTTAACTATTAACATAGATCATTTTAGTTGTCAATATATTAGCATTAAAATGCATAGTAAATTAATTGGAGTAATTTATTAGAATCGAATATATGATATAAAAACAAATTTAAGTCTATTTAAATTTTAAATTATGGTAAACAGAAAGACAATTACGATGGTTTATCATAGATATCTATGAATTTGTTTGCATGTCGATCGGAAACATAGAAACAACATATCAAATATAAATCAAGTATGAATTAATGATGTCATAATGACCTTTAGAAATGTCCATTGTACTTGAATGGAGTATCTACACAATAACTTGAATCGAGTATCAAGAGGACATTTTAAACAATATTAGTTACCAATTACCATACCTGGACCTGATAAGTACGAGTAAACACTAATCATTATTGAAMCTTATTTATCGAGTATATGTATGTATTTTAGAAATAGGTGGAACACATTTTTATATTACTGATTAATAATATTTTTTAACCAGTTATACGGTGCGTGAAAATGTTTTTTTCTTAATACAACTAATGACAATTAAAAATGTTGTTATTACTGTATCATTGACATGCAATTTATATAATGAATTGTACAAACACGGAACAGTACATTTCCATAGTAGAATAATAATAATATTGTCATCCACTAATGCATCAAATAAATAAAAATATAATGTTCCTATTGTATACACGTGAACATAAATTAATACATTTTACCATTTGTGAATATAATAAAAATAAAAAAGATTTATTGCCGAGCACTATTTTATCTCGTGAAATATATTATACTTAAATATAATTGTATAGAAATGTATCTTTCTGCATAATATTGTAATACCTGGGAACGATCCAAAATTATGAATTAACGGTAAAGGCGTTTTAAAATTTTTAAACCCCTTAAAACTATGTATACAATATACATATACCATAGAAAAATTAGCCAATTATTTTATGTGAGATTTTGTTTGTACTTATGACATAATAATATGGCTACTAATGACCCATATGGTTCATGTTTTTGTGTAACAAACACATTTAAGTCCATTAAAAAAAATCTTTTGATATACACCACTGGCCAATTTTCGTTATATATATAAAAAAAAAAAAACATAATCTGTTTGCTAAAAAGCCGAATCCCGAATACCTTTATACTCTGTTACTGACGTTATTTTATTTAAAGCAGATACTACGCGTGTAAATGATTATTTTGGTAAAAACTTGGATGTAATAATAAAATAATAAATTATTTGTTACTAATAATGATAATGACACTGAGCTGATATTTATTAATTTGTTAGTTATAATTCATATTTTGTATAAGTTAATTTGCTATAAATAATTGAAGTATTATGGCKTATAAAAAATATACAGGTCTTGTATTTTTCAAAATTATTTTATTATGTACCATGGAATTATCACGATGTTYTATGTAGGTTATCTTTTACTCAGTTATTTATTAAATACAATACTCTAATGTAGGTAGATACTGCGATACTCGCACATTTTTWAAAAACATTATTCGGTTTTACGATTTTAAAATGTATTGATTACAACATTGCATTGTACGATTTTATTACTACACCAGTTAGTAGTTAAACCCAGAATTAAAACACACGACATGTGTATAGTAAGTGAGAACGTATATAATTAACAACGCCCACGAGATTTTTTTTTCACATTATCTAAAGTTTACACAGACGTATTTACTGCGGGATTAGAGATGAGTGAGCCAGAAAACAAAATAGTGTTTATAAATCATTTGGCAAATAATTATTTCCGTTTTTCCAAACAAATAGTAATAATTGGTTGTAAGATTATTTAAAACCCAAAATGTCGGTCGATCGCAGTAGATCGTTTAAAATTATTGGCCATCGAACACCGTAGTAAAATTTCAGACATAATGTCATGTGATTTAATTAAAATCACTAGCTCGCATCGTTTTATAATAAATTAAGTGCAATACATATTATTTACATTTAACTACTATGATGGTACGTTAAGACACATTATAATACTATATAATATGTTAATTATGATATTATTATTTTCATATATTTTACGGTTTTTACCTCTGTACTTTTGATATAACACAGAAGCATGGACCGGTGTCAAGACATGTTGACGGGGACCAATACGAGGAGGTGGCGGCGTCGGTGGCTGCTGTGGTCGCGGAGGAGCACGTTGACGTGTAGCGGGTGAAACAGGTCGCGTTTGAAGGACGCTGGAAGGACGATGAGGACGTGGAGGTAGAAGAGTTGGAGGAGCAGGAGTAAGTATTTGTCGTGTTGGAGGAGTTTACGGCGGTAACGGCGTTAGATGACGATGACGACAACGACGTCGTGGTGACGGTGGTGATCGCGACGGCAGCGGCGTGACGGTGCTGACGCGCCGTCATGTCTCGGGAACGCGCTCACGCCACGCACCGGCGACAGTGCGACGTCGGAGGAGATGGTGGCGTCGGCTGTAGCAACTGTGGCACGGACGACGCGACGGACGCCGCAACAGACGACGGTGACGACGACCACGACGACGGTGACGACGACCGTGACGACGGTGACGGCGACCGCTGCGAGGACGGCGACGATGGCGACGGACACAGAGACGCACGCGGCAACGACAACGACAACAACAACGACGGATACGATGACCACGGAGACGACGAGTTTAACGAAGACGACCACCGTCTGGCGAGGGCTATCGCAAAAATGGCCTTTGACGACGCGATACCGGCGCCCCGGCGCCCCGGCCACCACATCGTCGTCTCGTCGACCACAGTCCGAAGCTGGTGTTAAGACTTTGGATTTTCGAGCGTCACGCTGAGTTTCGGATCCTTTGGTGGTGGATAAGCCGGTGACACGACGGTCCACGGAC